GAAAGAAGATGACTCTGTGGTCATTCCCCAATCCTCAGGTTGGCCAGGGACTACTGAGCCTTTAATATGGTTTGGCTTTCCAGTTACTTCAGCTTTTCTCTGGCTGTTCCCTGCTCCAGAACTGCTGGAGAGAGCATCAGGTCTGTTCTCCCACATATGTTGGGAGGCTGTGAAGGAAGGTGTCTGAAGCCAGGGTATCAGCTCCTCTATCTGATAGCTGAGCTCGCCGCCCTTCCCTCTTGTATTGCTGTAGAGGTTGGGTGATGGAGTGCTTCAAAGTAGTCACATGCTTTTCAAACTTGATCATGTTTTAATTTGACCATAAGCTCTTATGGAAAGCTATCTCAAACCTCTCATTATTGAAATTACATACAGAAGAACTAGCACTTCTGTTTATGTTAAAATTAGGTGGGAGAATTTTAGGTGTTTCAGCCAAATGTTATGTAACAGTTTTACTGAATCGTGGTTGGGGATGGAAGATAAGCTTGCAATGAGCTGTGTGGAGTAACGTGTCAAACAGGAAACGAGCTTTCATCAAAACAAAGTGGGAGAATGCATGCCTAATCTGAGCACTGCTGACTAGCTGGGGGAGATATTTACAGGAGAGCTGCCTTAAGCCTTTTTCCTCCTTCCTTCCTTCCCATGTAGACTTGGCTTACGGGTCTGTGGTCACAATGAAGAACCTTCGGATGGCAGGGGGATACCTTCACTCCCACTGGCACCTCTACCCGGAGGGCGTTGGGGCTCGCCAGCAGCAGGTCAGTGCACTGCGGTAGGACGGCCTCTGACTGCAGCCACCGGCTCGCCCCCGCTGCACTTAGCACTGGGCGCTGTCGAGACAGGAGCTGTGTATGTTTTTCAGCATCTCTTACCCTCTCAGTGCCACAGCTGTGCACTTGGCTTGGAAGTTTCTGTAAAAAGGATGCTTGAAGAGAGACTACCTGTGTTGCACCAGACTTAGAGTAACAAGGCTTCATTGTAGTAGCAAGACCACCCTCCATAGATGGAGGCCCAGAGGACCTGAAAATAATCTTCCATAATGAAAGTGCTGTTGTTACCTCAAGGAAAGCTGTAAAATTTATGTTTGAAACAAATACATTACTTACAGGTTTCGTTGTTGTGTTTTAAAAGGAACTGAATGGCGCTGCTGCCTGTTGTTTCACTCCTGTCACTGGCCTCTGTGACCTTAAATGAATTGCTCTCTATTTGTGCCTCACTTTCCTCATCTGTTGCCAAAGAATTTGTAGGGCTTTGCACATTAAATTAGATATCTCTGCATTCGTCAGCTAGCCATAATCAAACTCTCTGAACTCTCTAAGGGCTTCTGATTAAAGGATTAAGCAGTAAATCAAAGTAAAAATCAGAAATCATGTAACTATTGCTAATTAAGTAGTACAAAAATTAACCTAATTTCTTATTTTTGTTCATCATCATCATCAAGCTTCACAAATCTTTGCAGCTTCTCCAGCTTTCCTGAGATGTACTTTGCAGTTTGCATGTCAGTATCTAAAAATTCTTCCGAGTTCCTTGAAAGATAGTTACCAGAGAAAAGCAAGTGTTTGGTTTTTTTAACTCCCTTCAGTCTCTATGGTGAGGAAGAAGTTTTCAGAAATGAAAACTTTGTCTCAATCTTTTTTTCCTACTGTTCTTCCCAACCAAAAACTTTAATATTCTCATATAACATTGATGTTTATTACCATAGATGGAGATGTTATACCAAAACTGGCTCAAAGATAGGCAGAATTCAAGTGCAGAGCATGCTTTAAGGCACTAAAAGCAGGGAAAGGGGATTTGGAAAGGACGCTGATGGGAGTTTCCTTGACAGTAAGTGGGAAAGGGTGGAGATTCCCCCCGCTCTGTGCTCCCTGCCCTGGAGGTAGGACAAGCACAGGGGGCTGGGAAAGTTTGAGGGCTGTGGAGAGGGGAATGGAATTTAGAACTTGAAGGAGATTTAGGGAGGAAAAGATGGAAACAGTGATCTCTCTGCCTCCTCCTTTATCTCAGGGGGCTGGGAAAGTTTGAGGGCTGTGGAAAGGGGAATGGAATTTAGAACTTGAAGAAGATTTATGGAGGAAAAGATGGAGGCAGTGATTCCTCTGCCTCCTCCTTTATGTCCTCTCCTGATGATATAACCTCGAGGTATGAGGTTCCACCTCCAACTCTCCCTTTTCCCCACCCTCAGACACTCCTGAATGTTCTGCCTCTCACCCACCCCACTGGGCCATCTGGTCCCACCTGAGTGGGAGGCACAGGTCTGGGACTGGTCTAGGGTCCCACAGAGCAGGGCTTGCTACTGCTGGAAGAGGAGACCGAGCAAAGTAGGCCCAGTTCCTCCTGCTGCTCAGGAAGGTTGCCTGCGGGAGCAGCGCCCTGGGGCCAGATGGTCTCCCCTGCCCGAGGTAACAGTAGGAGCAGTTACTCTGTCAGTCCGAGCAGGCCGGTGAGGATTAGCTGGGTAGCATATGTGGCTTTAACAGTTGATCCCTGAATCCTTCTTACCTTGCCTGGATCTTTTGGCAGAAGTATTAGGGTTGTCACAGGCAGCCTGTTGTCATAAATTTCCACCAGTGATGCCTGTCTGTAAAGCCAGTGCTGTTTCCATCTCCTGGTTCTGGTGCTGGTCAATGATGATTCAAAAAGTTCAAGTTTGGCTATCCTGTTGTTGTAGAAGGAGCCTCTGAGGTAGGGTGAGAGGAGGTCGAGCTGTACGGTTGGAGGCTGTTAGTCGTGATGCATGTGAACTGCCCATTAAGTGTACGGGCTCGACACTGAATAAAAGGTGTGATCTCGATTAAGGAGGGGCCAGTGACTGCCCTTCTAGGGGCACTATCATAAAAGTTGTCCCAGGGTTTCTGTGTTATTGGTACATTCATTTGGGACTCAGATTTGCTGACAAATGTGTGTCTGCTGTCACCATCTTTTTTTCTTGTTTGGTAAAATAATTTATCCTGTGCTTTCAGGTCACTGCCTACTTACATAAAGATTTTAATAACCTGTGGATTATAAAGAAACATGATTCAGAGACAGGTAACAAATGCCAGTAAAGTGCCTTTTATAACTGCTGCCCCAGTTTTTCACTTAAATATTCTGAGTTCCCTCCAGGGCAAGGTATCCTTCAGGGATATGAGGGGGAGAGGAGGAAGAACAAGGGGAATCTGCCTCCATCTTGATTAATGCTGTTTGTGTCTACTGTGGTTTGGTTTTTCTCCAGATTGTACGGCTGAAGTAAATAAGCTTTTCTGAGCTGAAGGTTGCATTGGCAACTTTTCAGCTAGGTAGGGCTGCAAATAACAGAGAGGAAATTAATCTGAACTCAGTATTTTATGGAATCTAGTATTGTGGCTGTGAGTCCTGGAGAAAGCTGGATCCTGGTATGTTCTGATCCATTGTGTTCAGCTGATTTGCACGGATGTTTGCTTGGGACAAGATAAGAGTACTGAATGTGCAGATCTATGGTTTGTACATACATCTCTTGTTTTAGTGTAGCTGAGGCATGTTTGGTCTGGCAGAATTTTCTTTCTTCACCTGCAGCATGTGTATATAAAGATTAACAAGAACTGTCTAAACAACAAAAAATGCAAATAACGTAGATATAACAAAATTATAACAGGTGTTGCAAGAGTAATTTTTTAGTAATTTTTTTTTTTTTAAATACATATATAGTTTTGGTGTTCAGTTAGCCTGACCAGGCATCCTCTAAGTTAAGGACCAGGCATCCTCTTTATTTAAGGGCAGTATGTGCTGGTTGAGGCCGTGTGCTTTTGAGCAGCCCTCAAGGCTGGTCTTTAAACTAGAGCAGTGGTTTACACCAGGCTCAGAGTCGACACAAATGAGTTTGCCTTGTATTATCTGCTTGAGGCATGAGCATTCCCAAGAAACTTTCTCAGACCCTCATATGCTTATCAGTGCATTAATATGATTAGTTTGCCTTCCTTCAGCAGATCTGTCAGACCCCTCGAGTCCTGTGGAGTTTGTGAGGCATGGAGATATTATTCGTCTGGAACATAAAGAGTAAGGATGGTTTCTGGGATTCAAAGAGATTGGGTGGTTGAATAGAATTGGTGGGAGATTTGTCCTGCTGGAGACTACATGGTTAGGCCAGCACAAGTGGGCTGTGTGACAGAGGTGTCTGTATATCTGCATTTCCAGTGTGGAATTTGTGGAGTTTTCCTTCTGTGGTTTATGTTTTGAAGGTTGTCTGTTGAATGGGAAACTTTTAACAGAACCACACAACTTTGTTAGGAATACCTACCTAAGCAGCAGAGTGATTTGTTCAGCTGTGTGAGGTGCAAGATTAAGGGTGACTCTTCTGCAAAGAAGCAATTTCAAAACCCCCATTCTGTTGCTTGTCCCCACTCTCTGAGATTTCTAGGGAAGTAGCGTGAGGGGCAAATAGCGTGGGGAGCAAGTAGCAATGACCTTCTCATTCTCCATGTGCCTTAGCATAGTTTCTAGGAGTATCTGCTCCACGATCTTGCCTGGCACTGAGGTGAGACTGACCGGCCTGTAGTTCCCCGGTTCTTCCCTGTTTCCCTTTTAAAAATGGTGGTGATGTTCCCCTTTTTCCAGTCTGCAGGAACTTCACCAGACTGCCAGGACTTCTCAAATATGATGGATAGTGGCTTTGCAACTTCATCTGCCAGTTCCCTCAGGACCTGCGGGTGCATCACATCAGGTCCCACGGACTTGTGCACCTTCAGGTTCCTTAGGTGCTCCCGAACCTGATCTTCTCCTACAGTGGGCGGCTTTTCGTTCTCCTGGACCCTTCCTTGGCTTTCTAGGACTTGGGCAGTGTGGCATGAGCCCTTGCCAGTGAAGACTGAGGCAAAATAGTCACTGAGCACCTCAGCCTTCTCCATGTCCTGGGTGACCAGGTCTCCCGTTGCCTTTCCTTTTGTCCCCGACATACCTGTAGAAGCGGTTTGTGTTGCCCTTGACATCTCCGGCCCAGTGTAACCCTGCCCGGGCCTGGGCTCTCCTGGCTGGCCCTGAGGGGACCGGGACCCTGACGGGGCTGTGGAGTGGGCGGTGCCACCGCGGCGCTGCGGGACAGCTCCGGCAGGTGGCGCTGTCCGCCCGGCGTCCGCCCCTGGC